AAATAGTTTACAACTACAAACGTTGGGAACAACTAACGAGATTAACCTGCTTTTCATCGATCCGGTTTATTTCGTCACAAAACTGTCAACCGATTTTTATGCTACTTATTAGCATCTACTACCATTTACCCTGCTATGTCGCAGTTCCTGGAATTTACCCACTTTTTCGAAATTCCCGAAGGATGCGACATAGCAGGAGATTGACTGTATATTGAGATGTATTGGCATGGATACGAATATCTGAAAACGAGCTTGTTCACCACTCTTTTTTGTTTGAAATGTGCTCTGTGGAGCTGTTTTGACAAGTACCGTTATCATTAAATAATTTTTTTTCCGGGCACCTTGGAGCTGATTTGCAGTCAGATCTTTCCTTTGACATAACGAAAGCGGGCACACCTTTCTTTTGAAATTTCTATAGTACTGAATTCATTCGCATATAGTGAATTACAAAACCAAACTGAATGCCTCCTTCGCAGCACACAAACATATACACACACACACACCGTGGCCGGCTCCGAAATGACTGTTTAACGACACTGCGATTTGATTCACAGAATATGGACCATGATTGTTCCGAACTGGATAATTTACGCACTCCGCCGTCTTATTTTCCCCGGTCCACTGAATAAACTGCACTCAAAAGCTTTCCTGGTTGTCTCGGTATTTCCTCCGCTTCTCGTGCAAATTTAAAACTACTCGTCAATTCGTGAACAGACGGTGAAGTTCTGTCCGGCGGGGTAGGAGGTGGGGTACTCGTTTGAGGATGAGTGATACAAACTCCTGAATGATAATTGAAGCACGCAAATGAGCGGGGTAGGAGTGCATATTTTATTGTTCGTGGGTCACATACTCAGTTTCAATCCCATTTATTTAATCAAATGCTTCCGAACTGATATTTTTGATAAAACCATTATGAATGCTATTCATCTTTTGAAACGCAGTCTGATCTGTTCAGTATGTCAAAATTATGAATGTAATAGTTTATGAGTGAACTAATAAAAAATGTATATTTGCTTAGGTTAAGCGTTTTGAAATAGGACCACTCAACGTTCTGACGGTGTGTATTCTTAGTACACATGGCGAGATTTACGCTCCCGGCTGATTGGCTGTTCGTGTCCGAAATGGTAAATCATGTGGCTAAACGTAAAAATGATGATCCGTGGTGAATGCTTATTTTGTGAGACAGCCGACCGCAAGTTGGAATAGATATGTGCAACACTCTATGTTCACTTTATTGTCATATGCTCGTTTGTGAAAGAGATCATAATATCACGTGGTCTCGGATCATCTATTGTGATGTTTTGAATGACGCAACGGCCAGTCAATCTGTCCTCACGCCACCACGTGGCGATTTGTGAAAGTCAAAATTATATCCAAAGGCTGTGGATAAAGATGCATTGTGGAGCAAGCCAAGGTTACTTGGATGAATTGCTTTTGGTTCACCCTTACTTCTTCCTCCTAAGCTGTGGCAAACGATTGTGAGTAGGATAAGAAAGTTTCCTGTGGCTTTGTCTTGTTCCATTACTATAATGATCTGGTATACTGATTTGAACGTTGACTGAGGAAAATCGATTTTTATCTCGGATGGTGTGCCCGAAGAATATGAACTATTTCCAGTGCAGTGAAAATAATCGTCTGCAAAGACCTCGGTGATGAGTATAAACTAGAATATCTAAACATTATTCGATAGATAGATAGATAGATAGACAGATAGATAGATAGGTGGATAGATAGATAGTTTGTTTTAGATAGATAGATAGATAGATAGATAGATTGATAGATAGATAGATAGATAGAAAGTTAGACTGATAGAAAGAAAGATAGATAGATCGATAGATATATAGTTGAATAGATAAATAGACTGATAGATAGATAGACTTAGATAGATAGATAGATAGATAGATAGATAGATAGATAGATAGATAGTTAGATAAACAGACTGATTAGATAGATAGATAGATAGATAGATAGATAGATAGATAGATAGATAGATAAATAGACACGGATCCAATGAGAGATAGATAGAATGATAGATAGAAATATAAGTCGATAGATTGATAGATACGTAGATAGATAGATAGATAGATAGATAGATAGATAGATAGATAGACACCGACAGATCGCTAAGATAATAGATAGATAGATAGATAGATAGATAGATAGATAGATAGATAGATAGATAGATAGAGGAACATCGTTTTGCGCAGTCAATAAACCTTTGAAAGGTGGTCGATAGCTAAACCTTTTTGTAGTGCATCTTTTCTGTTAATGCGACGTTCGTTCGACTGGTAAACACTACATGGTGCTGCGTCTGCGCAAGGATACATATGAAATCTGTCGCTATTTGATTGTGTTGGGAAGGCTACGTGGATGTCCGCTGTTGAAACAAAAACAAAGCATGCTAAATAGCACATTGACTGAACGATCTCACACTGATTGCAACAATAGGAATTACGGGACTGTTTACACTGGCCTAGAAGATACTACCACGAAAGGTTACAGACTTGTTTTCATAAGTTCCCTGAGTGCATTGCACCGTAAGCTTACTGTTTCACTATCCTGAAACGTCCTAGAACACCGGGACGACTGTCTAGATCCGTATTTCACTACATATTGGTCATGGAGAGCAGTAACTAGTCAGGAGTATGCAAGGATTAAAAGTCATTTGGGTTTATGCACTGAGGGAATGGGATAGCAGCCCCCTTGACCGAACAGTGCCCAAGTGCCATACTTTCGGTCTGAGCAGATTGTTGCAAGCTTATATATCCAAAACTATTGTTCGTTCCTTAATGATTGATAGGATCAAGGTCACCATTTTATTTATTTACTTACCTCCCACACTGCGTCCAATGTAGTGTTTCTCTCCGGCTATGACAGGGTGGTGGACCTGTATCTATTCATCTATCTCTTTTTGATCATGTTGAACGTACAGCCATATGCCTCGTCAACAACCCAGTCCCAGTACGGTTTACTCATATTCACTTGCTCATCCTCGAGCAACCATTCTCCATGATCTACGGAAAATTCTTTGGTTTTTGTTGAAGTGAAATTTTCTATCCAGCCACTCCTCTTGACAGCTGTTTTTTCCTCATAGGTCCCCAACACAGGCGGATAGTCACTCGTGATTCCAATTGTTTTCATTTCTCCATAGAACTGAGAAACTGTGGGTAACACCCTCACGCTTGTTGTCATCCCTCCAAGTCACAAGTCACAGAAACGATTAGCTAATTTTAGCACAATGTTTCCTTTCTTACCCGATATACAGCCTGTATATCCTCTGCTCAATGAGTTTACTCTTTTCGCTACATTCAGTATTGTTAAAATCAGTGGGGAAAAAACTAAAATCGATTTAGCAAAAGCCGTTGCTATCCGATTGACTGGATCGTCTGAGGCTTACGCGTAAAGGTAATATCACTATCGGTGGAAAAATCTATTATCCTGTTTCATCGACGTCCTTTGGTCCGGTAATACGTGACATTTCTGTAGTGTCTTATTGCCTCATTGGTTTTTGACATTTGGACTATTCATGGTCTGAGGACAAGGAACTGTGCGTGTATGATCTGTCAGATCACGTAGTTTTGTGTGGCACTGACGGAATCCTGTGCTCTTACATCCTCTGGATACATAAAGAAAGGAATGAATGTGTTTAACGACTGAACAGGAGCCACTCTAATGTCCAAAAGAAGGAGCAATCCACTTCAAACCGTGAGTAAGTGCACAGTGGTCTGGAATTCAAATACCTGAGATGTCTCCTCCATTCTGCCGATCTCAAATGGTCCTACCTCTGCTGATAGGGGCTGTTCTGGGGCTCGGCATGCAGGTCAGGTGAATAGAGCGAAGTCCGATGGAACCAAAACAGGATATAGGCACAGTTAATTCTCTTCAGGAGAGTACGCGAGCAAATAAATACCATCGATGTGAATCACACACATTGGTTCATTCTTCGTTGTTCAATTGGTGTCCGTTTGGTTAACGGTTTAGCTTTCTACAACAAAGCGGTGAATCCAAATAAATATGTTTGGTCTCCCCAGATGGGTTGGAATCTCCATGTCCCGGTTAGCTTTATGGATGCCATAACGCGGTGGGTGTATATTACAATCCGATCTTGCGCCACGACACCCACATCTCCACGCGAAACGTTTATCAAGGTGAGAAAGGAAACATTTTACACCTTAAGCTTAGAAGTCCTACACACCTTTATTACTTGATTAGACGCTTTTGAATAACTTTATAGATATGTCCTTATAAGTGGAGTAAAGCTCAACTACCAGTTGATCCAGTTCGTAGTTCGAGTTAATCATGCAAAAAAACAATAGTAGTGCAGACTATTTGTCTTTAATAGAAGACAATGTTCAATTTATCGGTCTTCAGTATGGACATGAAGAAATTCTCTGAAAGCGACCCCCTCAAACGAAATGCACATGCACAAATCAGTAAAAGTTTATAAAAACAATTTCTAGAAAGTGGCAATTTAAGGTAAATATGGGCCAGTAATTACATATGTTCGTCTTGGCTGAAAAATGGTTTCAACTCCATTTCATCGGGGGATAGGAACAAAGAGACATGTATTACTAGGGCTGTGGTTTCGTGAAGCAAACTCGATTTAATCGAACGTTCAAAGACACGAGAAGCTGCATGCTATATATAAAAGTACATTCGACCACATGAATAACCGGTATAATCCGGATGGGTCTGCATGACGCATTACAGCATTGATTGAGATTAGATGAACGAAGGTGTTCAGGACAGTTCGGAGGGCGTGAATCATTGACCAAACACGTGGTATGTGACCCAAAAATCAAGGTTAGCGTGGATAACATCGCCTGGAAAAGCGCATCAAGCGATCCATCAGAGTATGGTACGGGGCGTGTTCGAAGCTCACAGAATGAATGCAAGTCCGATGTGATTTCATCCTCACATATGAAGATCTGTGGAACATACACAGAGTGGAAGCTTTTCGTAGCGTTAGTTTTATTCATCGCCTATTTCCCACCGGGTCATTAAAATATTCCCTTGAAGGAACAGTAACTAGAGGGATCGATCTGCTGCAATGAGTCGTGCTTATCACCTTCGGACTGATCAGAAGCAGCAGCAGCAGCAGGCTGTATGGATTTGGGGAAGCAGACAGTGTGAGTTAGTAATGTTTCGACTGCATCTCCGCTGTTAAATTATGCGATATGAAGATACTTACGGTATAAAGCAGAAGGCTCACGCCAATGAATAAATCGACTACAAAGACCAGGTATCACAGCACAGAAAATAGGACAGTAAACATGTAGTCAAACTGTTTGTGCATATGATATCTTACTTTTCCATACTGTATATTGACGCTATGGTTTCACGGAGGACAATAGCAAAGCCTTGTGTTTCTAACCAATTAAATACGCCACGGCTCATTCTAAAATACGAAAAATTGAAGAACATAATTGCTGAGTATAATTCAGTTCGACAAACAAGGTGGTTTTCGGTGCCTCATTTACTAGCCAAATACAGCACTCTTTTAAAGGTTACAAAATCATATAATTCAAGGAAACAGAAAAAAAAGTAAATAATGTATGTGTGTATGGATACTATGAATAATACAGTAAGGCGTGTATGAGAGTTCAAATAATTCTGTTAATGTCATTTGCACTGTCGAATAAATCAAATACAAACAATTTGACACTCATTTGATAGCCGGCTTTATCTTGCTCTAGCGTTTGTGATTTGCCATGGTAAATCCAGAACTCTGACCGACTGCTTTTGAACGCACAAGTGGGGGGGGGGGGGTTGTTCAACCAAATCGCAATCGCTTCGGCTGTTGACAGTAAGCGATACTTGATCTACTTCGATCTCAACCCGGTGATCGTGTAGACGGGCCTGACCGCTTCACTTAGTCTGACTCGATGTTTGGATTCGACCAAATCAGCCGTGATCACTATCCCCCCCGGTTCTGGTCAATCTGCGACTAAGCCAGCTGGGATGGTGTTCTCGAATGCGTTCGACTAAGCGGCGGTTGGTACGACCAATGCAAGTGCTTTCACAGGAACATAAATTGGTAAATGCAGAATGAGGTCATTTACACCAATTGTTTGTCTTTTATCTGCAATAAGAGAACTGGGTTGGAAGTGTAAATTATACGTAAATCAGCGGCATAATATGCATTTCTGACAGCATTCTGGACACGCCTGCTTACCATTTTAGATAATGTCATCTTTGAATAGCATGGACAGATAAACTGGTTTCTTTTTGGCCGTCATCTCAGGTTTCACTTTTGTGGTGACCTTCATACATAGTTGAATGATATTCTCTGGATATCCATTTTCTATGAAAGTCGTTCTGGTTTTTCTCAGTTCTTCCTCGCATGTATCAGGCGAATATTTTTGTTTAGTCCTGTTCACCATGCAACGAATCAATGCCTTCTTTCACTGTAAAAGTACACTACTTTTATAATTTGTGTACTGTCCTGACCAAGTCTATCCAAGTCACCTTGCACTTTGTCTATGCGCCACACACTATACATGCAATTCATTCGTGACCGGCCAAGTTTATAGGGGTCAGATTCAGCTGGTCCATTGACTGTCTGCGTTACACCAGTCTCTGTCTCTCCTCGACGATGGCGTTGGAATTTGTGCAAATGCTTAGCCAAATGTTTGTTGGTCAAAACGTTATCTAACTCTCAAACAAACAAATTGTGAGTCCAGTCAGATGCTTTTTTCTTTCACTTTCTTTGATACTGGTAATATTTATTTGAACTCACCGTGTCCTCCACTCCTAAATTGAGCTGAGGATATCGAATTACGCATAATATCACGTATAATACAATCAAGTCTTGGTTGTCTTTGTGGTACTCTTGTTCGAATTGACCCTTTTTTCTCAGACCACAGACTCGTGCTCAATCGCTACAAATGATCCTAATGCATTTGCACGACATAACGCTCTGATCTTCCGCTTTTTCCAGTTGTGTTGAATTCCAATTTTCTGTCTCGTTCAAATTCGATTGACTGTCTTGCATTGAACCATGGGACTCGCTCAGAGAGGCCTGCCACAAGGAGATAGAAAAATTTGGATTCGGAAACTTAAACAATAAATATCGTTGGTTACACTGTTATCATCGCACCTGTCATTTTCCGGGTTTATTTGAAAAGGCCTCAAAAATCCATGCATCGTGATTCGCCAACTTTCAGTCATACATCAACCATCCTTCTCGGAATGTTGATTGATGAGGTGTATAATCTTCACGTTAGTGCATGCGTGAAGATTGTCATCTCTAGGGGANGATTGACATTTTTAATTGCCAATCATCCGTCCCAATCAAGTAACCGATCGTTTTTTTGTAAAACATCCTACAGGAAGAACTCGTCGTAAAGGTCTCCAATCTCCCATTTTCCCAGCGTTCTTATGGACAGAAACAGAGAAATTAGTTAATTGCGTGCAATCAACCCGGTGAGAAACTGTTTTGTTTTGTCTTAACGTTATTCCATTTCTAAAGCATTTCAGTGTGATACACAACCAATGAGTTGTTTCTACGGAAATGCAAGTCCAGAAGCTCACAGAACACCCTATTTCCCAGTTTTTCCCCCACGCCCCATTCAATTCCCCCAAAGATTCTGTCATCAGGATATTCAGACGACCGTAATACCAGTTGTCGCAGATGGAAATTCCGCCCCTATTCTCTCGCGGCCTACCTCGAATGGCGTTCAGGTCTCACCGAGTACTTTTCCACCATTTAAATTTCTTATTCATCCTCAAGGCCCATTCAACTAGCCACGTGCGTTCCCTGATGCGTATAGGACAACAGACATGTTTAACTCGTAACCTCGAACCCCCAGTCATCGATGTGTGTTGTGTCCAAGATATCGGCATTCAAGACTCTAACTCCATCATTCTATTGAAGTCCCCCTTCAAACTCATCCGCGAACTTTAACTTACGTCTTTCTGGGGACCCTGAGGCTGCGACTTCTGGTCTAGCTGGTGTTGGCGTGGAACTCAGCGAGTCAGCTTCAGCCGTACTCCAACATTTGACCTCAGTCAACAGTAGGTTATGCGCAGGGAGACTTAAAGGCTCGTGCAAAGTAAGCAGTCGTCGCTCCGAAAGACGCAACTTGTTTGTCGACAAAGATACTTTCTACCTCTTGCGTAAGGCGATTCGGTCTGATATCGTGATTTTATCAGGAAATATGAATGCTAGAATAGGCCGACTGACTTCAAGCGAGGCCCATCTGGGAGGTTCTTGAGGATTAGATTCCTGTCGCGTAGAAAATGCAGGACGGCTGGTGGCTCGATGTTCTGATAACCGCCTATTGCTCGCCGTTTTGAAATTCAGACGGTCCAACTGCCAATACACCACTTGGCGTTCACCCTCCTCGAATCAGCGGCAAACGGATAGACCACATCGCTATAAGCAGCAAATGGCGGGGTTGCATACAAGACAGCTGATCGTATGGGAGCACTGAACTCGAATCCGATGACGCATTAGTTTGCATGAAGTTGTCCACGTGCTTCGATGGCATTCTAAACGCACGACACAGCGACGGTGAGACTGCGGTAAAGTTGTCTCAATCAACACGGTTAGCCGTCTTTCAGAACGTGCTATCTGATAAGCTCCAATCAACCCGACCTTACAACATCAGTCAGCACTGGTTGCTTATCAAGAATGCTCTTCCTTCGGCTGGCTTAGTTAATTGTGGTCTGACACATCGTATCGTGACACGCTGGATTTCCGCTGAGTCTCTGCACATTCTTGACGAACGTCGGTTAGCTCCGACCGGCAGCGAGCATATCGTAACACGACTCGTAACGAGACGTGAACTTAACGTAAGCCTACACAGAGATCGCGAAATCTGGTGGTCTCAACGCGCAGCAGAGCCTTTTAAGGCTGCCCCTATTTCCAATAAAGATTTCGGCAATAAATGCCTTATTGTCGACAACTCTGTTTTATCGTTTTTTTTTTCAGATCACACCATTATGAGGTGTGTATGACTCATTTCAACTTGCCTAGAAATCTTCTTGTGTACGCTACTTGAATTTGTCACCCAGGTTGTACACTATATGGAGTTTGCCTTGGAACTGGTCTTGCTTGATTGGGTTAGCGTTTTCGATTCCCCGAACCAAGGAACCCTATCGCACCTCCTTCATGACTGGTGTTCAACCGGATATATTGGACATATTACGTAAGTACTTCACAAACCGAGGGACTTCTTGTGATTGCAACCACCATTCGGTTCTTTCAATCAGCTCTGGTGTTTCAAGAAGCCGTTCTCTCCTATTTTTCTCAGCAACCGTTGTTTAATTGTTCACAAGTATGCAGATGATATGAATATTGGATTTCTGCACGGTTTTATTCAATCAATCCTCCCCAGGATGGTTTGACAAATCCCTAAGACCAGTCTATATTCCCATCACTGGTTGGTTGTGTTGAGACTCAGTTTAACCTTGAATCGGGCTCTCGGTACCAAACAATTTTTCACAGCTTTTCGTCTATCTCTATTTCTGATTAAACTATCATTTAGACCACATGTTTACTATCTAGTCGGGTTCTCTATGGTCTATGGTCCGTGTTGAAAATATCATTACTAAAGTTTGTAAATCATCCTCTTAAACTTTCAGACTTGAAAGTCTCAGTATCCTTCACTGCCGAAAGAAGAGATTAAATGACTACCACAAACCAGAGAAGAGATTCATACTTCTGATTGTAAACTTGAACGGGTTATGCTCAATGAGATAGCTGTCAGAAGACAGCTAACTGACCCCCAATGTGATGACGACAGAACTAGCTTCCAGTGCCATTTTCCGGAAGGGATTTCAGCAAAAGATATTCACTTGTTCAATAGTCTGTTATCTGACGAATAGGCTAACTCTCCTTCACTCCCAAACCGCACGTGAACTGAAATATCCTCCCCCAGAAACCAAACCAGAGAAGCTCAACAACGGGATCGGTGGGAACCATCTTAAAGGACAAAGCGGTCGACAGTGCGATGCATTCCAAAATGCGGACGTGGCGACGAGCACACAAATAAGCACATGCTTAGGTACGCAATACAATCATGGCGCACCGAATGATGAGATTTCGTCTTCTTCTCGGTTTCTGGTGAGACGATTGGCATGTTGGGAATAAGACAGGGATGGGCTCAAACATGGGATAGTGAGAAATACGTGATTTGGGCAGGCAAGCATTTTAGCCCTGTTCGAATATGTATCAAGGGCAGTAACCGGGGTGGGGGCAAAAACGATACACACACACGCACCATAGCATTGCGTTTAATTTATTGTTATTTGTTTTGGGAAGAAGTGAATAAAGAGTTCTGAAGAGCAAAAAACAAAGTGTGTGCATCAAAGACCACAAAACGAGCGAAACGGGATAGACATGAGTGCAGGTAGTCACCGTGTACCATGTACAAGAAAGGTTGTGGAAAATCGGCGAGGAAGGTGTAGAGGGGGCCATACAATGAACCGGGAGATTCGGAGAATATGAAAAGAAAAAAGGAATTAGAGGAGGTGGAGAAGGGATCGAAAGCACGAGGAAAGCGCGTGGTAGATAACTGAAACGGTTGTACTATATTTGACTAATAAAAGGTAGGGAAGGCGCAAACAGTCGGTTTATGAATGGACTAAGTGAATGTCCTGTGAACCGGAACGGTTGTAGATAAGCGTGGGTCGGTGGTGTTAATTGGCTGGGACCTTGGGATCTCCACTGATGGCTGGTAAATAGACCGCTTTACGGAGCCCACGTTTGTGTGATACTGATCACCATTGACCAAGCTAAAACCCATCTGATTCCGATAGGAACTGCGGTTGGACAGACCGGCGTGATGATAACTGGCTGCTACTCCATGCCGTATACTGCTNAACGGCATGACGATCGCTCCAGGGACTTCGTCATCATCCTCGTCCGCTTCCGCGTTCTCGTCCAATTCGAGACCGATCTCGAGACCGTCATCGGTGTTCTCACGATCGGATAACGGTGGGTGCTCCTATGAGGAAGGGAAAAACATGAGACGGAAAAAATAACTGAAGCAACTCATGTCCCGTTACAATAACATGGAAACAAACGACAATCCGTTCTTCATATCGGTTTGATCTGAAAGCAGGAAAAACACTCAAGGGAGGAAACAGTCTAGCAATTCGGGCCAGTTAATTTCAAGGAAGCAGTATTAACTTGAATAAGTCTATGATATGCTAGAACAGTGAAAGAAGAATGGAAAATGGACATTGAAATCATGCAGTTGCAGTCGCGATTCCCGTCTACTATCGCATACGATCTTTTCGTGCAGAGTGAGTGATTTCAAATCGTCAGAACAATCCAGTAGCAATTCTATTCTAAATAATACGTAAGCATAAAATAGGAGATTATTGACCCAGTTAAGGCAAAAACACCACAACGACGAACGCTTAGAAGAGCAAACAAAAAAAAGCTCTCGGAGAAGAGGGTATCCCCACAGAAGTCCGCAAAGCATGTTCAAACACATAACTCGACCGTTTTTAAGTGTTATTTGCTTCCTTTTAGGAATCGGAATCAACAGTTGTAGACAATCAAATGTTTCAACAATCGCTGAGTGCAGAATATTAGCATACTTTTCGATCTGACTCGCCTAGAGCGGCATAACCAGAGATTGCGCTCCGAGGCTAAAGGACTGCGGGTTCTGGCCAACGGATTGCAGCTTTTGGTTGAAGCTTGATTGGAACAGGTGCAGTGGGCTTTTTTGACCCACGAATCGCTCCGACCCGTGTTCATTTGTTGGAGTGACCATTCATGCATGATTGGGTTTGTGGCCGTGAAGAGCGATCCCGAATTCACTCTCAGGGTCATGGAGGTAAGCACTGGATACGACATATACAGCGATTACATACCAATAAGCCCCTTTTGGGTCTTGTTACTGATGGTACGAGAAACATCACAGAAGGGAAATGCACTTGTTATGCAATAATAGCCAAGGCAGTTAATGGGCGGAAGGGTGCTCAGGCCCAAGCCGGGCGTGAGAATCGGGGTCAACAGATTGATCAAAGAAATTTTGAAACGAACTAGCAATTACCCTTGTATTTAACTCCATTGCCCCAACAGAGATAATAGATCGTTATGGGTTAAAAGCAGTTACGCTCTAGCACCTGCTCACTTTCCCTAATCAAATAGGAACGCACTCGCCATCTCCATTCCTCGGGGTTGACTGTAGATGTGCACGTGACTTATGACCCTCTATTATCCTATGCTGTTCTGCGGATGGTCTGATTAACGTGTTCATTTTTCCGATTCACTGTTATCCATTCTTGTACCTGGTTCGCCATGAGTGCCAATGTACGCATGCAGTACGTGAAATAACTGAATTCACGTTCACCTGCTGAACTATGACCCCTTTTTAAACCATGAACTGGATACCTTAACTAATCGTATCACTTGATGTTTCGTTATTGTTTCCTCACTCACGCATGTTTTCGAACAGGGCCTGTAGTCGAGTGGAAACCAAATGATGAAATACATGTGTGGTCTCCGTCTTCACTATCATCCGTAAACAGCACACAAGAAAAATCCTCCGTGAGGGAATTACTTACCACATGAATACCGTTTCCGTTCGTGGTTGGCCGAGTATCAGCTGGTTCGGGCCTAGTAGCTGGATCATCAAATAACGGCTCCGCGTTGAACAGACCTTCATCATCTCGTCCAGACGAGTTATTGTGTGCTGCTGCGTTTTCCGAAAAGTGATTTGTTTTCACGCCTAGCAAATAGAAGAGATGTCGAAAACAGACTTATTACAAAGAACGCCCACGAAAGCTTACCGTATAGAACAAATGCATTCCCACTTGGGTATCAGTTCACATTTTCGCAACCACTAACCACGCGCTTTTGGTTGTTTCAGGACTGTTTATTTGGACGCAAGAGCAGGAATATTGGAATGTTTAGAGCAGAGTCGACGGGAAGACAGGAACTATAGAGACTAAGGTTGCAAGGATGATGACCAGATGCACGAGCACCATTGTTTGCGAACCCATCTATAGGAACCGGTTACGATGATGCGGAGGTACCCACCCAGGAAGCCTAAAGAGACCTATGTGAGCAAGTCTCCTGGTCAGGGTTCTCATACCTTCATACTAGGTCTTTGTTTGACTGCCCTTGACTCTTCCATCTAATACCTGCCTCCGCAAACATCCCATTCCACGACAACGTAGTTAGTAACATGCGCAACACATGCCCCAACCAGTCCAATCTATGGAGATCGACCACTAGCGCTAATGGCCGATCAGGATCACCTAAAACCCTGCGCTTAACCGTAGTATTATTCATCCGGTTTCTCCACCACATATATGCGACACTGTGTAGTCAGCGGTGCTGAAGTACCAACGGTTCATCTCCATCCCGTTTTCCTACTGGCCAAGTTTCTGAGCTGCATAGCAGAACTGCTGCAGCATACACGAAACCCTTCACAGACAGCCAGATATCGCGACGGCGCCACAAATGTCTCAAGTTGGCAGATGCCGATCGGGTCTTCTCTATACGTGTCAACACTTTAACTGTGACGCGTCCGCCGGGTGAGATGTAGCTGTAAAAATAAACTTTTCCTACTTTCTCAACTACTTCTCCAGTTAGAGGCTGGACCAACCCAATCCTGTAACAGCATTTTACACTGTGAAGGTGCAAAGTGCATACCAAACATGGCTACACTAGCCTGGACCTTCACTCAGTAGCACAGTGTAGTCTTGAACATTGGGTCCCGTTTATCCAATTCGTTAGAACAGAGAGAAGACAAATACTGCGAGATGTTAACATTTCTTTTAATCCCTTCGGTCGCTACAACGTAAAAAAATCTGGTATTTATACAAGCAAGTTTTGATAACTACAGTGGTAAAACGAACAATAGTCAGGGAAGCGGGGGAGAGGGTGGGGTGGGAAATCAAGTCTATGGCAGTCTGACTGATTGTGTAAGGAACTTTTGTGCACACACGACTGGGTTACGTAACTTGATTAGCACCGCTTCGCTAAACGCCAAAATCCTGGTATTCAAGTCACGTAATAACAGCTTGAACGACATTTGTGGGTCAACGATGTGTCCAGTTGCAATGAGGTATTTTGCGATGGATGACCCTGGATTTCTCTTATCGGTTTGACCTCTGAGACTTTGTTGTGTCATCGATTGTACCAACCATTTGGGAATGTGTTCAGACATCCGCTGTGCCAGGGGCCGATTCGTTCTGCCGATGTAAGTGTCACCGCAACTGCAGGTGAACTGGTAGACGGTATGTGAAGCAGCATTGTTCGGCTGGTTCTGTTTTCGATTGTCTAAACGAAATCCTTGGGTATACGTATCAATCGAAGCTGTGCGGCAGGAAACGTTCGGCACAGAGCCACCTTGAGCTTTTGACGCAAGTCGTTCATTATATGATCACCTCCAAAGGCGAATCTGCGGGAGACGCTCTTCTTTGGTACTGTGCAGGCGAGATCAACCGGTGTCTTTCGTCTGCTGTGCACATCAATAAATTTCTCTGGATAGCCGTTATCCAGTTTCGTCCTTCGCAGAAAAGCCTCCTCCTCTTGGACAGTGTCAAAGGAACATATATTCCTGGCGCGGTGGAAACAAACATCTCATTGCAACTGGACACATCGTTGACCCACAAATGTCGTTCAAGCTGTTATTACGTGACTTGAATACCAGGATTTTGGCGTTTAGCGAAGCGGTGCTAATCAAGTTACGTAACCCAGTCGTGTGTGCACAAAAGTTTCTTACACAATCAGTCAGACTGCCATAGACTTGATTTCCCACCCCACCCTCTCCCCCGCTTCCCTGACTATTGTTCGTTTTACCACTGTAGTTATCAAAACTTGCTTGTATAAATACCAGATTTTTTTACGTTGTAGCGACCGAAGGGATTAAAAGAAATGTTAACATCTCGCAGTATTTGTCTTCTCTCTGTTCTAACAGTGTAGTCTGCCAACTCCAGATCAGACAGCCTATCGCCTGGGAGCAAATCAATAACAGAATGTGCATCGAATGCGTTTCGTGAGCACGGTCGAGTGTCACAGTGTCCTGAGATACTACTCATTTGTGAATAGTAGGTAACTTTCGGTGATCAAAAGTATAGTAAGACTATCAGGGATCAAGTGATGTTTGGAAGAATAACTACTGACCGTTCTATATATTACCCTGTGTGTCGGAAAGAATTGCGATGGCACATCTCTGATTAGGTTTTTGTGTTATGCATGCAAAATTACTGACCTCCCGTCTGTAATCCGCAATAAAGGAATATCCTCGACCAGCACCGCCTTTTGGAATTATAACAACGGGAGTATGCCGACTGCCCCAGATTCACTAGCCTGGAAGTATTTGTTGGCCAGCTCTGTTGTAATTGTGTCCCACTTCTGATCTAGGGACTACACAAGAAAAAAAGATCGGCGAATTTATTTGTACCAGTGGTTAATACGACACAAGCAAACGAATTAAAGCCCCAGAACGCCCTTTACCTAATGTCAATATCAGGGAAAGGCGTATGGCATACCTACCTGCTGCGGTGCAAACAGGTTGGGCGAGTTCTTCCGCTGCCTCTTTCGAGGAGGCCATATCACCACGCTCATTCAAATGTTTGACCTCTTGTGTGGCTCCAGTTGCATCGTTCGGATCATCGTACAAATAGAAACCGGAACCCGATAGAGTTTTGTAAGAGTCTAGCGCCTGTCGAATGGTCTGGAGGTCTTCCTGGAAAATAAAAAAACGAAAGCAACTGTGAACGGAATGCTTAGTCAAAGCGGATCATCCGCATTTCGTGCCGTACCAGCGAAACCGAGTGAACCATAGTGATGGTCATCTGCGGTATCCCAACCGGAAATGGCTACTGAGTGTTCTGTAAAATAGATTCATCATATCATTGTGATGGTAGAGAGCTAATACTTTCTTGAGACGAGTGGCGCAGAAAAACTAAGCAGCATCACCAATCGAGCTTCAAACAAGACGCGATTGTGGGGTTTTTAGGTGTATAGGAGTTTATTGTATGAAGGACATTAAGAAGAAAAGAGCGTAACCTCAAGTAGGCATTCCACAGCCATTTCATCGTTGCAGGGATAAAATCTAAGTAATGGTTTTGACGGCTTGAACTCCGATAAACAGGGTTTCGAGTTGGGAGCGTTGTGCCAACCGTCCATAGTTAGTAACTTCATAGGTAAATCGCTTGATGCTGTCTTCCCATAAAATGAAAACGAACATCTCCAACCCATGAGAAACTCACATCTAGACGAGGCCACTGACCGAATTTGTCCATCAGTCGCGCATGTTCTGTTTCCACATTGTGCGGAGAGGTGACTCGTAGAGTCTCGGGTCTGAGTGGATCTCGTGAAGGATTGTTGGGTGAAGACGAGGAGATCACGGAGTTGTCAGCCAATCCTCCGGAACTTTCGAACCGTTCCAACTGGTCTTGTAACGAAGCTACTGGGTTGGCCGCATGACGGAGTCCCTGTACAACACCCAAAGCCGACCGACAATTCAATCGGTAAAGTGACATCAAGTAAGCAGCGACTACGGCGACGCTGGCTGACATACCGGAATCACTGGGATTGGGAAAAAACAGGTGATGGCTCAGTTGCACTTAATCAAATATCACTCTGCCACAGTTCGAACAAGTTTTCCATCTATGCTGTATGCGAGCAGCTAATATCATTTTGATGAAGGAACTAAAAGCAACCTCAACGTATGGATGACGGAAAAGGTTTGAATGATCATTAAAAAAACAAGAAAACATCAATCAAACTTTCACTTACTAATGGACACAGAGAGACACTGGTGGCGGTAGCCAGGCAGATCGCTATATCACATAGACCCGGAGGCCGTTCGAATCTCATTACCGCCGCCATCGACCAATTACAACCTCAATTCCGCATGCCTACAGACAGCTTTTGGCTGACCAAAAACTCAGTTCATCGAAACGAACTGTATCATTGCATGATCACTGGCACTACCAATATTCTCGAATTAGGAATAGCTACACGGAAAAGTTCACTATGAAGTGCTAAGTCATTATACATTTTAGCGACATAAAATGTCCTACAACAATCCTAATGTGTCTACAGGTTTAAAAACAGGAATGGATCTGGAATTCCAGCAACGAAAGACTTCGACAATGAGATTGATTTGACCAGTCTAAAGTGCTTCACCGACCAACAAAAAACAAAAGATATTTCATCATTGATCATTTCCGCTTTTTTATGTCATCTTGAACTTCCTACAGTTCTCCGCCCCTCACTAAAATCGAATATCTCTTAAATAAAGAGAAACTGCTTTTTCATTAGTTAGAACAACGTTCAGTGCTGCCAAACTCGACAGCCCCAGTTATCTGATATCCGATTTTGACCACAGTAACGCTTGATAACCAGTTCAACTGCACTTGTGGTACCGCTTCTGTAGCTTCTACAACAAAACTTCAATCACAAAGCATCAGGGACCATCACTGCCTGTGGCTTAAATACACAGACAACAGAGGTTATCTCAAGTTCGATTATTGCACATTTGATGGAGAGGGAGCATTTGTGAACACCAAATCGCCTCTTATCATCAGTAACCCAGTCCCACAACAACACGTTAAGAACTATTCAGTGTAGAAATCGTGCGACAGGCAATGCCATGATCAGTTGTCTGTTAAATCCGGAACAGAACGCCCGCAGCCTCCTTTTATTTGTCCGAGTGATACATTTCGAATCGTTCACAAAGGACAGTGATGCACACATGATGAGGCGTTGCTCTAGTTCACCCCACACGAAAATATCTGTGCGTTATGCCTTTTCGACTACGCATCCAAATTCCAGTATTGCCCATTCTCTACTCTCCTACAATCATCAGGCGAATCTGATGGTTGAATCTCCACAAGGTTTTAGCCGAGTACAATGCAGATCTATCGCTATGTGACGATCAGTGAGTCCATATTTGATTAAGGTCGCTATTGGGTTACAACCGGCCTTAAATTCGTTTCGGCCTCATCCTTGTTTCATTCGTTCGAACTGGAAAGTTCCCTTCTTTACTCTAATAGGTCACCATCTAAACGTTAAGTCGCACTGCACGAAGTTGAATTCTGGATCATGTGTTCACGTAACTGTCTGTGATCAGTTCGGGTCTGTCCACCACATGAGTTTCTGTCGTTCTCCGGTCGATCGCATTCACTCGTGATCTGACCCTTCGCATGCACGCGTGCTTGCTCATTAACTGCTTTATCTTGCACAGCTCGTCGACCTGTAGCGCTGCCCGTTTCTCTCATGCATACTGACACCTCGACTGCCTACTGCGCGCCTGATTCGCAATTCGCCTAATCGCGAACATGTTACTCATTGATAACCACTCCCGGATAAATAACGACTGCATTATTCACTGCTTGTTCCCTATGGCTGGTGCGGCCGTGGCCCCCATGAAGAATTCGTTTATTACTCCGTACAGTATGCTGTCACTCGTTGATCTAGCTTGGACTGAGTTATTCGCTGGCGTTTATTCCCAAGTCTGCTGAATTCCCGTGAATCATATGTAGACTATTTGCCTGCTTTGCTTAGACGCTAGAACCCAAATTCAATTGAACGGATGAAGGTCGACAAAAATACATTCAAACTGGTAGTGTCACCAAAATGGCGCAGCAGTTTCCCCTTATTGGTTCACGCTCTATCACAATGATCTTTCGGTCCCATATGTTGCTCGCCCTTGATGGCCCGTTTGTATGGTGGTTCTGGCATATAGATAAGTTGGTGCCACCTGGCAGTGATAGGAACATTTCAGTTTCAGTTTAAATAGGCATTAAGCATGAACTTCCATGCGACCCTTTTGGTTGCTATCTTTTGGCTGCCCATTTGGGTAAACAATAGGAGGGAAATAGGAAGGTTAAAGGTAGGATCGAAGAGAAAATTGGGAAGTTCAATGGACTTATGATACAGAGAAATTGAGAAAATGCACGAACGCCACTATTTACGACACCCAGCCATATCACTTAGTGTCTCTAACCATCGGGTAAGACCATCCCAAGAGCCTAACGGGACCTATGTGACCCAGTCCCCTGGTTAAAGCTTTCACACCCTCATGCCAAGTCCTAGCTTGACCACCCTGGGCTTTATTCCACCCACTACCTGCCTCGACAAACATCACTTGCCGTGACAACCTTTTGGTGACATGCGTAACACATGCCACAACCAACGTTATTTATGGAGGTTGACTACTTGCTCCAGTGGGCAACCGCGTTTACCCAAAACTCTGCATCGAGCCTTAGTTTTGCTCGTCCGGCTGCCCCATCAGATTCGTGCAATGCCGCGTAGACAGCGGTGTTCAAACACCGACAGCCTATCTTTATCTCGCCTCCTTACTGGACAAGTTTCTGCTCCACATAGCAGAACGCCGTAGATGTTGACTGCATTGTGCGATTCTACCCGCCGCATCGGAGCGATATACAACGCCCAGAAGGGACATGATTCTACGCGATTCACAATGGTAACACTGGCATGAATAGCCCACCTGGGCTTGAGTGATTTTCTGCGGTTGTGTTTCTGTCGGTCGTGAAAAAGGAGAGTTGAGTCATATCTGTCCATAATACACTGAGTCCCATCCTCCACTCCTGAGAGGAACTGAATTTTTCACGATTTGAAGTACATCTGAAAACGGACGCTCGAAGTTCTCTCAACCAACCGAGTGACAGAAGGCGACTCGTGCACTAGTTTGCGACGAACGAATAAGAGATAAGACGAGTTTATTGCGGCAACACTGCAAAAGTGTACATACAAACCAACTCGTTGCAGTAATGATTACCGGGTTTGGTCCCCAACCCACATAGGTTTCTCAAGGAGATGGTCCCTCAAGGGATGCATACGAGAACCCACTTCGATAGGTCTGATCGTAACTGCCATGACAATCAAAATCTTTCGTACTGTCGGGAGTGGGTGTCTCGGGTTGCACCTCGCGAAATGCTTCCGTACGACCAAGCCTCTCGACTAGCTCCCTACTCACTGCCTTCTCGTGGAGCGGTGTTTTCCCACCAAAGGACGAAAAGCCGATAACCGGGTTGGTGGACCACTGGTAGTTCACCTAAGGGAGACGGTCAAAACCCTTGATTCCAAACCAACGAATAAGAGGCGCACGAACCACACCCACACCTTTTCTGTTGTGGCAATGGTCACCTTGGGCGTTTGACCCCGACCGAAAGGCATATGATCCGATGAACTGGATATCGGCCCCTAATGGATTGCGGTTTCCACACATCGCCCCGTTGCCTAGCGAGGCAGGGTTTGGCTAGCCAAAGTCTCCGGTTGTGAATTCTTCAAGAAAAGTCACCTGCCTTGACCTGGGAAACCTGGCAGTATTCAACCCACATGCAAATCAAGGAACGTTTTTCTTTTTTATAAAGACTACTGTAACGAAGATTTGTTTGGCACAGTCTGGATTCAGACGAATGTGGAATATACAATAAGCACGGCAGCAATGTTTGGTACGGAATAATTCCAGCAGTTATGTACCATTGGATTTTGGTAGAGATCCGGTTCCTCTTGGAAGGATTGGAGAATGAGGGTAATGGTAGGCAGATAAGCAGTGCATCAAGCATGATTCATGCTTACAGGGCAAATATTGCCTAATTGCTCCCTTTCTCATGTTGCATGTGAACGTAACTACACTATCGTCAAAAGGGAGCAAAACTATTCATTTGAGCGCTATCACCGCGTACCAATCTGGGGTGTGGGGTATTTATTCACAAGAATGCGAAAACCACCAATGATCACTTGATCAATGTTCAAGGATCGCGTAAAGTACCGTTATTCGAATCCGATGACGAGAAGTCAAATAAATAGAGTGGCGTCAATCGTTCAGGAGGAAAAGAAAAAAGAATTGTTAGTCACTTTGGACCGAGTACCAAGTGATAACCAAACTACCAATTTTGGTTTCAATGCAACGTGCATCGGCTGTGCGGTAAGGCAAACCCAAAGGAAGAGGTAACACAAGTGACACTGGTGAAGATAAAGTGGTACAGAGAACTGTGTGCACAAAGGTGACTGGCATAAGTTCTCCACTTACCGCGATCCCAAACTGATCATCAACACCGCAATCACAATTGATTCTTCCACCCATACACCACGAACACAGATCGAAACCAGTGCGCTGGTGACGAAAGCGCGATGATCCTA